AAATCGGGTTGCGACCAGAGTCACGGAACGGATTAAATTCGTAACCCGAGGTACCACTGTATTCTCCATTTACAAGATCCTCTCGTACTAGAAGTCAGATCAGCACTCCAGTCATTACCAAGTCAGAACACTATAGGAATTGATGGAATATCTACAGAAATAAGCAAGCAACAGAAGAAGAATCATAAAAGGTTCTAATCAAATTATGTCAGGAAATCTAGAGAATAGCACAGTGGCCGAGAGATTGCTTGCCACTATTAATAGTCTAAATTATCTTCAGCTCTTCCTCAGTAGCATGTTGAATGCCATCCAACCTGAGAGGCCTATTATCCAGCACTACTTTATATTTATATTTCTTTATTTTGTCTGTCCACATGGTTTTCTTAATAAAAGACAGGAATGGTTACCACTGCTTTCTCCCATGAAGTACGAGATGGTGCCTTTGCCATTTTCACTAAAGTGATCATTCGCCTCCACCATCTTCCTGTATTGCTGCTGCCCAATGCAGGGGCCTGCCTGCTTTAGCTGGGCACCAGGGATGACCTTCATGCTTGGGTGACCTGCTGGGAGTATCTACTCTTGACATACATGCCTGATGTTCTTCACTCATTCCACCCAGGAACACCCATCATCACCACGATGAGGCAGCATAGCAGGACTTGAGGGGGTCAAAAGAAATGGCATGTCTATTTTGCACTTTTAGAAAGCTCCTATACAACCCAAAAAGGAAAAAGAAACTAGGTAAAAAATTCTCACCACCAGCAAATGCTGCTTCCTCCAGGATGCTTTAGAACTGTAAGCCAACTACCTTCTCATCAGTCTTTCCTAAAAAGGGAAGTTGGGCACAGAATGAGATTTGTCCAGTTCTGTTGGATCAAGCAATGGCTTCTTGAGAAGAGGGCAATAGCCTCTTTCAGAGGTAGTGGGACCAGCCCTTCTCTCAACTAAGAGGAGCATGAATCTAGAACACAGGTGGACACATTAACAGCCCCTAGGATCCTGTCCACTTCTTCAGGATTAACACGACTGAACTCCTCCCAGATAACTGTGCAAGACTGTATCTCACTTAATTCCATAACCTGCACAACGAGTCCAAGTCAGTGTGCATCTGAGCAATTTTATCCATTAGGTGCCAAGAACAGTCCTCAGAGTGACCTTGCAAGTGCTCCCTTGCCCCTTCTTACCCAGGAGAGATCAGGTCATGCTGCACAGGGCTGCTGGCCAGCGGTCAAAGGATGCAGTAAGCTGGGAGAAATACGAAGTTTAGGTTGAGAGAGAAATTGCCCCAATTCTGTGAGTTTTCATGGTTTAGAGAGGTTTAGAACATCTGTTTCCCCAATCCTAGTCCAACACATTGCACCACACTAGTTTTGGAGCCCAAAGATTCTGGGAGGAAGCAAAGGTTCTTTATTATAACTTTAAGGGGGAAGTTTCTAATGTCTTAGCCACTCCTAACTGCTTCCAAGATTTAAAGACAGATAAAAACAGGCTGCTCTGGCCAGGGGAGTTACGGACTGTTGCAAACTGGAAAACCACACCCACAAGACTTAAGAAAGAAAGGAGGCTTCGAGAGCAAGTGATGCTCAACCTTTAGCTATTTCCCAAATGTTGTTCTGCCAGCTTTGGCTTTTAGGTGCACGGGTTGTCCCACTGGGCCATTCCCAGTGAACACAGAAGCATTCACATGAGCTTAACTCCACTTACTTTAGACAGAACTGAGCATAGAAATCTCTTTTCCTCTCCAGTTTAGCTGGAGTAGCACACAACTATTGCTTGCTAACAAGACATTAGTAGGAAGGTCTTCAGAAAATATGCTATTCAGAATTCTGGATTTACCGAAGCATTTATTTTTCAAGTTTCTGTTGGATTTTGCCAGTAATTAATTTGTTAAAATGTGTAAGATTTGTACCATAAGACAGAAGGGCAAACATTATGCTACTATGCTGATTGTGGTGATTTATTAATCAGAAAATAATCACTTTATTTTATTGGAGGATTTTTAGGGTAACCTTGAAATGGTCCTAATTCTTTGAACCACATTGGTTGCCTTACTACATATTATGTAATTGGGTATTTTACTTTTGCATGAAAAAAGTCCTAGTCTCAGTCTCTGGCATCTCCACATAGGCCCTAGACTGGGAACAGATTCCTCTAAAAACTCTGGGAAGCTACTAGTAGTCAGCAATGCATTTTCACATAACAATCAGGTGGGATTCCTGGATTATTCCACCCCAATAAACTATTGGTGTGTTTTTGCCCACTGCCTTGTTCATCCCTTATTTGCTTCTTGTGCATCTGGGTAAACCATCCAAATGGGGCAGCTTCTTATGGCATCAAAACCTAGAATTATGGCAGAGGTGAAAAACCTCTTTTGTCCTAAGGACTTCATCACTTCTGACCAATTCCTCTGGGGCCACACCTTAACACTTCATTGTTTTTGGCAT